CCCCTCCCCCGCCCGCCGCCGGCGGGCCCGGCTCCCCGGGGGCTGCGGCGCCCCGGGCTCGGCGGCCCGCGGGCCCCGGGGCGCGGGGCGGCGGCGGCGGCGGGGGGCGCGCGGCTCCGGGCGCGGTGCCTGCACCATGAACTACCAGCAGCAGCTGGCCAACTCGGCTGCCATCCGGGCCGAGATCCAGCGCTTCGAGTCGGTCCACCCCAACATCTACTCCATCTACGAGCTGCTGGAGCGCGTGGAGGAGCCGGTGCTGCAGAACCAGATCCGGGAGCACGTCATCGCCATCGAAGGTGAGGGCCGGGCCCCCGCGGGGCTTCTGGAAGGCGCGGGGGAGCGGGCGCGCGCGTGTGTGTGCGTGCGTGTGTACACACGCGCCGGGCCGTGGCACGCGGCTGCCCCGCCGAGTGGGCACTGCGGTGCGTCTCACCCCGCAAGACCGGGCGGGAGCGGAGCGGGAGGCCGAGGGCCGGGCGAGCGCGCCGCCAGCTCTGCCAGCGAAGATGGATTGCAGGCGATAATGTGCTAATGGGCAGTCGAGTCTCCGGTGAGAAAGTGGCTCCGTGTGGCCGCGTCCTGGGCCACCCGAGTGACCCGGCCCAGCCCAGGCCCCGGGGCAGCCGGAGGGGTTGGCACCACCGGACCGCTACAGGTTACCAGCCTGGGGCCGAGCGTCTTGCTGGATGTTGAAGAGTTCTTTTGAGAAGTGTTGCTGCTGGGAGCGAGGCTCTGGCCGGCGTGCTTAGGCGGGCAGGGCCAACCCCTTTGGTGTCTTTGGCCATTTTGGGGGCACAGTGGAGAGAGCTGACCTTAGCCGGAGCGGAGAGCCAGCCCCCGCTGCAGGCTGCATCGTGTCCCGATGCTGGTCTACCTGCCCCTGTGCAGAAGCTGGCTTCCTCTATGGCGTGTTTTCTACCAAAAGTCCTGGGTCACATCAGAAGAACCCTCCCTGGGGGTTCTCACTTTCACACACCTGGCACTGGGAGGCCACCCACCCTATCTGCGAGTCAGGCGAGGCAGTGATCCTCCGGAGCCGTTCAGGCGAGTTCTGCCTCTCCTGGGCCTGTGTTTTCTCGGGTTTACCATGGCTCTTATTTCTCTGCTATTCGGCTTCCGGTTCGTTCCCTTGCTTCCCTTCTCACTGCCATTGGTCAGTGATGGTAAAAGAACTGAAGGGTGGGTTGTCCATAATATAGAGCTGTCCTAACCAAAAACCACTCTGGCCACAGTTGAGGAACACTGAGAAGGTTCTAAGGCCTGGCAGGAGTGTGTCGGGAGCCCAGCCGCAGGCATCGCCCAGCTCCCCTCCATCTGCAGGTGAGGGGGCACTGGCCTCAGGAGAGCGTTGCTTTGGCGCCGTGCTGCCTGAACTGCTCACCCCAGAGTGTCTTGGTTTGACGCTTGACCAGTTAGGTGGAGAAGGTGGTTGTGGTGGGGCTGATCCTCTTGGTATTTGGCAGCCCTATGGACTTGAACAGCATCCCAGCGAGTCTGCTGATTGGCCGCCTGTATCCATAGGGGACTTGCTAATTCCGGGGAGGATCTGAACAGTGCTCCAGCCTTATGTGGGCCTGGCTCTCAGAGCACCTGGCCGCCCTGTTGGCAGTTTAAGATGCTTCCAGATTCCTCGAGAGGCAGAGGCTGCAGTGTGGCTCTGACAAGACTTGCGGGAGGCCGTGGGACCGGCACACGGCTGCTGATGCTAGGTGAGCTTGCAGAAACGTCCCTCCAGAGCCGGGGCTCTGGCTCCGTGGCCACCCAAGTGAAGGGCGCCTGTGCCTGTTTCCGCTGTCTCTCTGCAGCTCTCTGGCAGCATCCATAGGAGTCTGATGAAACACTTTGAAAGCTGGTGACTAGCACTGAAAGCACCTGGCTGAGAGCACCTAGTCTCTGTGCAGAGACCTCTAGCTGAGTGTGGTTCATGCTGCCTCGTTCTCATTTCCCATCGCAAAGCCCAGTTCTGGGGTCTCGGGCTCCCCCTGCAAAGCATTTTGACTTTCTAGCAAGAGGATGTGGTTTCATTTTTCTTTTCTTTTCCTTCTTTTCTAAAAAAACCAAAACATTGTGTGGTTCTTAGATGGTGGTTTCTGGTAGCTTGCTGTCTACCTGTACTATGTCAGACTTTAGGCCCCTTCTTGGCTGGAAACCTTGTTATCATTAATAAGACGCAGAATCAGTGATGAATCGTGCTTGGGACTTTGGCAATGCTATTATTTTTTTGTTAGAAAAAGGAATGTTTATATTGTGTCGGTGCTGTGGTTAATTTAATGAGGCTTAAGAACCATTCAAATATGATTCTGTTCTTTGCATTATTATTAACAACTATACCACTTTTTACTTGTATAGAACTTTAGCAAGCATGCTCTTGCATTCATAAGCTCGATGTGGGCCTGTACCAACCCTGTGAGAGAATGTGGGCCAGCTTCATTCAGGGAAGGATAATGACCTCCTGAACGTTTGACTGAGGTCAAAGTCGGGTCTGAACCAAAGGATCCTTTGAACTTAGGTCTGCAGCCCCCCAAAGCACCTTCCACTGCCCCTCCTAATGAAATATAAGTTCATTTGTTATAATGAAATGTTCTCACACACTACCAATTTTAAGATATGGTTGTGATTTATATCTACATCATTGATATTTTGGAAATTGAGAAGATTGCTCAGTTGTGGCAGGATGACATTTTTCCTGTGAGGAGAGAAGCATGCAGAAACAGTTTTGTGCAATTGTGTAGGATATGGGTTCTTCACTCACACCGAGCAGGAGAGCATTGCCGTGGGGGTACGGAGACTGCAGACGCATTTAACTACGCTCTGTAACTGAGTGTGCGCCCAGAGGATCACAGTACCTCTAAGAAACGCACGCAGATCTGCCCCCGCCTGTGAACCTTGCAGGTGAGGATGGTACAGTAGCAAAACGTAAGCCTCTCTGAATTTTAAAATAAGACCGTTTCCAATCAGGAAAGTATTATGCACGTCATAACAAATGGTTTAAACATCGCTTGTCTCAACAAACAGAAAATTGCCTGCATTTTAGAGGAGATGCAGTTAGGCATTTTTCCTGCCTCTGTGTGTACCTAAGCAAAGTTGGCGTCATACTTACAAAACTACCTGATTAGCATAAAGTGAGCACTTTTCAACGTTATGAAACAATTTCAAAGATACGATTTATCACATCGGTGTAATGTTCCAGCATTTGACTGTTGCCATAATTTACTTAAAATTTCTGTTTTCCCGAGTCTTTCAAGAATTGTTGGCTGTTGGAGTGAGGAGTGGGCTTGTCAGAGGGGAGGATGTTTCGGCTAATGCTTATTTCAAAGTGATTCTAAGAGGGTCTGGACTGGAAAATCTCTTAATGATGGGCCGAATTGTATATACTTTAGTTGAAAGAGCTCACCAAGATGCCCACATCTGAATGGGTCTGTGACCCTGTTTGAAGGCATGGGGAATGTGATTTAGTTCTCAGTCCTGTTTTAAAACATCACCTTGCCAAAAGAAAAAAGAAAAGTGTTTTTTCAAATCTTTACTTCGGACTTTGAGAGATTTATTTTTTTCCTCCAGTCTCTGGAGTTTAAGGAAGCATTGCCTGTTGTTTTCAGATTGACCTGGTCAGATTTCTGGGCTGTCCCCCAGGGGTGTGGCCAGCACCCTGGATGTTCTCCGTGCCTGGAAATGAACGGGGACCAGCCTGCCTCCTGGGTGAGCAAGCATCTTGCCTAGGGGTCCCCCCTCCAGTTCTCCTTTTAAAAGCCCACCTGGGGTTGATGGGGTTGAGGTGAATGAGTCAGCTGTCTTTCTTGTTAAATAAAGCTTTGTTCTTCTAGTACGGGTAAAGCCTCTGTTAGCCATTGCACCTTGTAATTCAGCTTGCCTGCCGCTGAACTGTGATGCAAATGATAAGCCGGCCAGCTCACTCAGCCGGGCCGTGGTCGAGCCCCTAACCAGCATTCATGCCTCCACACTCACCAAGCCGCTGCTCGGGGAGGGGGGAACCGAGTTCCCCACTGGCCCCGCCGGTGGTTTGCGTGGCTTCCTGGGAGGGCTTGGAGAGGTCACAGTGGCCCAGTCCTCGCAAGAGAACTCTGCCTGCCACCCCTGGTCAGGGCACTTACACAGGGGCATTGAAGGGCCGAGCCCCAGCGTTTGGGGAACCTGGGAAGATGAGGCAGGGAGCCCCTTTCGTCTCACGGTGCAGCAGCTCTGTTGAGCACCTGTGGGCAGCAGAGTGCCCAGTGCTTGACCTCCGTCATCTCAGTCCATCTTGTGATGATCCAGTGACACAGATGCCACCTTGGAGGCCCAGAAAGGGTAGGGAACTTGCTGGAAAGAGTTGGGCTGGGCTGGTCAACCTAGCTGGCTCTCTAGCCCTTTCTGAGCTAGGAATGAAGCTCCTGGTACAAACCATCCCAAGCACGTGTCCCCGTTACCCAAGACAGGAAGGGGTTGCGGATGCTGCCACTAACTGAAAGTCTTACGTCCTCTGTGTGGTTGCTTACCTCGGCAAAACTTCTGTAAGAGTTTGTTTGCCTAGAAGAATTTATTTCATCTGGTTGGGGCAGGTGTGTGTGTTTAAGGAACAAATCCCTTCCTGCTGTGAATGAGCATAACCCTTCCTGGACACGCTTGACTATGTTCGTAATCTTGCAGGCTTAATACAAGTTGTAAATATGGGGCCTTTTCGTTATTGATATGAGTGTCACAGTCTCCTCCTTCAAAATAATTCTTGGGTGGCGGTCCGTCACTTCCAGGTTAAATTTCAGACCTTAACGGTCTCCGACCCTTCCGGATTCTGGGCGTCCCTTCAGCCTGGCTGAAGTCCGCATCTTCCCTGTCTGTCCCAGGCCCCAGCTCCCAGCAAGTACTGGGGGCCCTCTGAGGAAAATCAGGTCGTGCTTGTGTTCTATCTCCGCAGTGATACAGAGCGT